CTGTAGCCCCGGTCCTACCTCCATGCCCTTGTTCTTGCCATTCGCTCACCTGAAGTGCCTGCCCATCATACTGTTCTATATCTTTCCTGTCCATCTTTTAGGCTTACTTTAGCTTGACCTTTTGGGGCATCTTCTCTGACTGCTCCAGTCCTATGTGATTATTTTCCTTCTCTGTACTTTGTCACTCACTTTTTAAAAACCTCTCATTTAGGACGGAGGATATTCTTATATTATTAAATTTTTTTATGGTTTTGTGTATGGAGTCTCTTCAAAAGAAACAGGCTAAGCAGAAATACTATGCTTCTGTCTCTTTGTGGCCCTAGGGCCCTGGGATACAAACAGGCTTGCATTGTTTTTGTTGATGAAATTAGCAGGCTTTACTGACACTTTAAAATGCCATGTCTGCTATTATTATAGTTGTCTGACTGGATAAAACGAGAGATATATTTGATGGTTAAAAAATTAGCTACGGCTAATTTAGTGATTGCATTAAATCTATCCAATGACTGCCTATTGCTGTAAATTGGATTCCTTCTGTATAGTATCAGCTAAATTCAAGTTGATTTTGAGTTCTTGGTAGAGTGCCTGCCTATGTGCTGTGTTTTATTTGCTCACTGAGGTGCAAACAATTATTTATTGAATGGAAGGTTTTGTAAAATGCATGTCCTTAACTGTTCTCCAATTTTTTCTTTCAGGTCTTATCACAATGGCTATACTTAGAACATGAGCAAGGAATTCACTTGACTTCTGAAGTAGATTTATCTTGAAAATATGAATGTGGACTGCCTTTTATCTTTATTTCACCCCATTAACATGCTACAAACTATTGATTGATTTACAATCATTGCAAATGTATAATATATATTTTAAATTCCTCTATAATTTTATTCCAAGGACTCCAGCACATTATGTTACAGACAGCAAGGAAGCTTCTGAGTGACACTTAGGAAATTTTTTGAAGAAATTCTTTTTATATCTAAGCCGACCGTGCAAAAGACTTTAATTAAGACATTTGTTATTTTCTCATCTTTTTTCTAATTCACTTTGATTGTTGAGGTCACGTATCCTTCAAAGTTAAAGGCCTAAAAGAGCAAACTGACCAGCCTGAAAATGAAATTATATTTATTTCCTAGCCACGAACATCAATGTTACTATATAAATTATGCCTTGTCCTCTATCATTATATACAGGCGCCATGGTGTTTCTAAAAATAAGAGTTTTACAGTTAATGTGTAGAAGGTAAAAAAATGAAAAAGCATAAAGTACTGAGGGATCATGTTTATCTTAGGGTCTCACAGAAGACAGGACATATTTAATTCATCTGGTGAACTACAGGATAGGTTGTGGTCCAGCCACCAAGAAGCAGGGTGACCATTCTGTTTGGTCTAAGAATTCTGAAGGAAGGTAGGCATAATGCTTTATGCTAATAGGAGGAAAAATCACTCTATCTTTTCTCCCCAGCCCTTTGCCTGACTGTAAGCTACTGGCCCAGATGGGGACTACCAATGCCAGGTGGTTTATGTGGAGATGATTTTTCACCTTTAAACTCTAAGCCAAGTACAAAAACTCCTGAATATCTGTGTCTATTTTTTATCAGTCACTGAGACATTTTTTAAGTTTGTATTTATTATTAAAACAACTTTACCAAAAAAAGTCCCCAAAGCACAACTATGTACATTTCTTTATAGCCTCTTCTGATCTCTAACATATATATGCAGTTTTAACTGTTATTGTTATAGTATCTGATCTTTTGACTTAGGATTTTTATCTGAGAGCACAATGCATTGAGTCTCTTGAAAATCATCTTCCAGATCTTTTTACAGAATGAACTTATGCACTGCTACTGTAGTATTCTTAAGGAATATATGTAAACACGAGATGTATGCCTGAGGTTGGGTTTTGCAGGAAACAGTACTTTGCTTCTAAAGTAAAAGCTTTTACGTATACTCTTTCATAGAAAATCCTCATTGTTTAACCATTTGGGGAGCATAAATCATTAAATGAATCATGTCTGTATGTTGTGTAATGACTAAAAAGCACATAAATGTAATCTATTTTGAACTTTGTAAAAAAAATCCCTTGTGTTTGAAGGTTATCCTTCTTTCTCTGTCCATCTCAAGTCGCGTGTGTGTGTGCACGCGCGTGTGTGTGCGTGCGCGCGCGTGTGTGCGTGTGTGCGTGTGCAGGTGCACGCACATGTGTGTGTGCATGTGATAACACATTGTAAAGAACAGAAATTACTTTAAAAAAATAAAAGAAAATGGAGACCTAAGTTTCACAACGATTGACACATTTTGTTTCGGTATATCTCTGAGGAACTCAAAGTCTCCTATTTCCCAAAGCTGTCTCCTATTCCTGTGAGTTAAATAAGCAAAAATAAGAAGTGAAATATGTGAGCTAAAATGTCTTAAGTTTTTAAATTTACCAAAGGAGTTAATTTGTTTTTACAGTTTTTGAATAGGTAACAGTTACGTGCTTCAAAAATCAAAAACTGTAAAAAGGTATACAGTGAAAAATCTCTCCTCACCATCCCTGTTCACCCCGTTCCCTGTCCACACAGCTCCTTACAAGTGACCACTTTTTTTTTTTTTTTTTTTTTTGCGGTACGCGGGCCTCTCACTGTTGTGGCCTCTCTCGCTGTGGAGCACAGGCTCCGGATGCTCAGGCTCAGTGGCCATGGCTCACGGGCCCAGCCGCTGCGCGGCATGTGGGATCTTCCCGGACCGGGGCACGAACCCGTGTCCCCTGCATCGGCAGGCGGACTCTCAACCACTGCGCCACCAGGGAAGCCCACAAGTGACCACTTTTATGAGTTTATATATACTTCGTTTGTTTCTCCAAATACATATTCTTATTTTAATGCTTTTATATATAAATGCTAACATGTTCTACATACTGTACTGCACCTAGCTTTTTTCTACTTAACGCTATATCCAGGAAGAACTTTCTATATCAGTAAAGAGTATCCTCCTTCTTATTACAGCTGCATAATATTTTGCATGGCTTATAGCATAATTCATTTTACCAGTTCCTGACTAGTTCTACCAGTAACGCATGAGAGTGCATTCCACAGTCTCATTAGCTATGTGTTTTGCCTATCTGATAGCTGAGAAATGGTATATCCGTGTAGTTTTAATTTTTATTAACTTAAAAGTGAGGTTGACCATCTTTTCATAGAGCTTATTCACATCTTTGGTCCCACACCCCCTGCTTTCTGGTGGGTGGGTGGTTTTTTTCCTTATTGGCTGTAGGAACTCTTTGTGATATGAGTTGCAAATATTTCCTTTCAGTTTATCATTTTTCTTTGACTTTGTTTATGGTGTCTTTACCATGCAAAACTTATTCTGGAGTCGTTGAATTTATGAATCTTTTATGACTTCTGGATTTTGAATCATAGTTAGAAAACCCCACTCCAAGGTAACAAATCATAGATACGCACATGCATACAAACACCAGTTAGAAGATATAGAGAATAGTCCATTTACAATAGCAAAAAAATTAAATTAAAAAAACCTAGGTTTAAACTTAAAGTCCCGAAACTTTTATAAGGGAAACTAAAACACTCCTGGGAAACACAAAACTAGACCTGAACAAATGGAAAGACATCTGGGATGTTCATGGATGTGTAGTCTTAACATCATAAAGATTTCCTATCTTTCTAAGTTATGTAAATTTAACATGATCCCAAAAAGAATACCACAAAGTTTTGGTATTTTTGTTTTTCACCTAGACAGGTTGACTCTAGAGTTCATATGAAGAAATAGCATAGCCAGGAAAACTCGAAGAGTAAAGGGAGAAATTTTTCCAGAAATTAAAACTTTTATATAACTCCAATAATGTGCCACTGGCCTGTGAACCAACCAATGGAAAAGAATTGGAGTACAGAAATAGACCCAAATATATCCAGGAATTTAGATAAAGGTGTCATCTGCAAACAGTGGAGAAAAAAATATACTGGTCAATAAATGGCATGAAAACTGGATGGCCATCTAGAAAAAAAAATTGAAGTTGGATTGATGCATTCCACCGGGATAACTCCAAATGGATCAAAAATTTAAATGTAAAAAGATGAAACCATCAAGGTGCTAGACAACAGAATGGGAGAATTAATTCCTTTAAATCTTGGAAGGGGTTAATTCTTGATGACTCAGTAACAGTATTTCATATGAAAGACTAAATTCATAACCAACGTCTCCCCTGGGCAGTAGTTATACTCCCCTCCTCAGCGTGTAACTTCCCAGTTTTGTAAAAGGACCGCCCCCAAATGAGTTTTCAAAGTAGATCCTCAGAATCATAAAACGGTTGGATTTTTCCCTTTTAGAGATTACTCGATTCAACTCACTTACCTTCTCCCCTTTAATTCAAACCTGCCGCATTTTGACACGATGTAATCAACAAGAACTGGGTGACCGGCAAGTGATCATACGCTGTGTGTCTGCACTGTGTGGATTTACAGTCCGCATCTGAGTGTGTGGCGGCACCTCAAATAGCCTTTGATCCAATTCAGTGCTGAAGTGCCTGGCACACCCCACAAATTCTGTAGGAGCTGGAGAGGCCTGAACTGGTCTTAGACGGTGGGCTGATTCATACACAAAGAGTAGCGGGGTTCACAAGAAAAGGCAAGGATAAATGTGCCACGAGGTGAGGTGAGTTGTTTTGAAACGATTTCCAGGGAGATATTCGAGACTGTGATTGTGTGTGCCGTTATTTCCTGCCTACCGTGAAGAAAACTTTTTTTCTGCCATGATTAAAGGGGCTGAACACAGGCTAGTGAGGAAAGAACCAAGCTTGCCAAGGGGCCACCGGCATTACAGAATTTAATCAGGGACACGGTAAAGAAGTTGTCATCGTGAAAGTGAATATGATTCATCTTGAAGGCAGCTAGCAGACAGGAAACGCACAGCAAGAGGCATGGCAATAGTTGTAATTATCTGTCACTGTAGGTGTTTCTGCCGCCTCGAAATCGTTAGGCCTGCACAGTTCTGCCACCCGAATTCACTTCAGGAGGAGTTATACAAAGTCAGCGTGTAAAGCTTCAGGTTTCCAGTAGGGATTCTGGAAACGAGTGTCTCCTCGACGATTTCATTCACCGAACTATTAAGTAGAAAGACTAAATAGCCACTGCTGAGGAGACACCTACAGGGTTTCAACATGAACGTGGAAACGGAACTCTGAGGTTTCAAAACTTTGCTATTATAAAAGAGATTGAAGATTTCAAGTAGCACCTAAAGCCCTGACACTTTGAGAGAACAGGCCTAAAAGGAACAATTTAAAATAGACCTAAAGGAAATTGCAGGTAGGGGAGTGCTTGGGACCGCGTAGCTGCTCTAGGAGATTCAAATGGAGGGAGTCTCGCTGTGTTATCCCAGCAGCAGAATGTCAAGTTAGTGATTATTTCATTAGGAAAATATTTGCTACACCTGTAATCTTGAAGTGATTAAACAACATACCAGAGCAGAACATTACTCTCCAGGATTAAATACCAAACAAAATAACAAAGAGTTGACCCAGCTACGGGCCACTGGGATGAGACCTTGTCCAGTTACCACATCAAAGACCCTTGAAGTAAGCCATAGGCAGAAAAAAAGAAGAATCAATTAGGATACTGGACTAAACTCAAGCTGGCTGTTTCCTTTATTTTGTTCATTTAGTTTCTAATTTGCCCCTGTCACTTAGTTAATCTAAATATGTACAAAAAATTAAAGTGGCACCCACCCTGAGCTATGTCAGCTCAGTACCTAATAAAAATGGGGCCCAGTTCAAGGAAGATGATGATGGGGAATGTCCAGCTCACTAAATGCATTTTCCAATTAGCTGGGAGATTGCTTTGTGAATCACTGACTTAATGAACACACAAGCTGGGCCGTTCAGGATGGGGGAAAGCCCTCATTCAATAAAGTGAAAAGAATAAATGAAATGATTTCACGAGGATATAGACAGATTTTAGTCCACCAAGGTAGAGAAAAACAATGCAAAACCTCTCTTGACAAAATGAAGTGTGAACTGTGATAATGTTAAGGGGAAAAAATGTGCTAAACCCTGGGGTAGATGGGTAAATTACTTTTGCAGAATCACAAGTCATGGCAGACGAGGTTAGGAATGGATTTATTTGGGGAAATTGAAACAAAAGCTCCCTCTCTCCCCTAATGAACATGTTTTTGGAGCTAATCACTGTACTAGGTTACCCGTGTCTTCTACTCTTTGCAGGCTGTTTGTTTATGGGCTTTTCTTAATAGACTTTATTATTTAGAGCAGTTTTGGGTTCACAGCAAAATTGAGCAAAAAGTACGGAGACTTCTCATATACCCCTGTCCTAACCCCCAACACGTGCATAGCCTCCTGCACCGTCCACATCCCACAGAGGTGCATTTGTTATAATGGAGGAACCCACACTGACACATCATTATCAAGCAAAGTCCATAGCTTACAATAGGATTCACTCTTGTCGTATGTTCTATGGGTTTGGACAAATGCATAATGCCATGTATCAACCACTTTAGTATCACATAGATAGTATCATATAGAATAGTATCACTGCCCTAAAAATCCTTTTTAACTTAAAAACCTTGTTATGGATAATGATAAACATGTACAGAAGCAGAGAGAATAGTATAACGAACCCCTCCCATTTACCCATCGCCTGCTTTCAGAAATTACCAACCATGGCCAATCCCAATGAGGTATTTTGCAAAGGCTATGAGAATGGAGCTATAGGCGGACTGGTATTACTTTTGTGGAAAAAGGATCTCTTCTCAGTTAAGTGAGTGATTGAATTATTTTGGAGTGACCGTGTATTAAGCACTAACTGTGCTAGGTACTTTGCAAATGTTATCTAGACCCTTGCTACTCCAAGTGTGGTCGGTGGACCAGCAACATGGGCATCACCTGGAGCTTACTGGCAGTGAAGACTCTCCAGTCCCATCTCAGACCTACTGAATCAGGGTCAGCAGTTCAGCAAGATCCCCCAGGTGATCTGTATGTGACTTGAAAGTTAAGAAGCACCGACTCCCTGGTCCAGGGTAGACACTTAAAATAGCATCCTAACAACCCTGCAACAACTCCTCAAGGCAGATACTATCATGCCCATTTTATAGGTGAGATAACTAAAGCTCAGAGATATTATTTGGCCTTTTCAAGGTCTCCACAGCTAAACTTAGATTTGTCCGGCTTCAGAGTTTATGATTTTACCGCTTAGAGCATGCTGCCTCCCAGCTAGGGGGCTCACTTTTGGGTTAACTCAGTGGAAAAAGAAAAGGAGATGGTAGTATGTGTTTGCACAACAGAGGACCAACCAGTCATCCTGGCAGATGATGACGACAGTGACGACGACAGCGATGATGACAGCAACAACAACAGAAAACCAAACAGTTTGCTATTATGCACGCAATCACTTGCTCCACTGAAAGACTTTTTCACTTTTCAACCAGTTATTATGGAATCGTGTAGGCAGCTAAATATTTCAGAGCGGTCAGAGGTCAGGAAAAAAGCTGGAGCAATCATCAAAGTTAGTCCCCCTTGACAGTATCTGTTGACCCAAATATGAACCAAACCGCAAACCATATGGTTTCCCAGAACAGAGAGAAGATGTGCTATAGACTCACATAACTGGTAAATGCATTTTTAAAAATCCGTCAGGCCAGTTTGACATCATATAGGCAGGAAAGGCAGGTTTCACTTTCCAACCAGCTGGGCAGTTTTAGCCTATAGCTCTGCTTATACTGAGAAGGGAGCCTGAAATGGCTGAGCACTGTTGGGCAATGCAATAGGACCCTTTGTGTTCGGGGTAGCATTTTGAAAGGAATATTACAGGAAAAGGTAGAGAAAAAGCATAATTCTGGGAGCGCACCCCAACTTTAGCAGAAACTCATTAGATCTTAGGAACGTCTCCCTCTAATCCTAGGAGGAGATTAGGCCGTTTCCTACTCTTTCTGCTGCACTAATGACTCAGGGGATCAGCATGGCTGCTTGCTTTTGCAATGAGCTGATCTGATGATTAATTAGCCTCTAGCAGAAACCTGATGAAGTTCTCAGTTCAAAGCCCCAGGGATCTAGTTCAGGGCAATCTGTCCTCAACAAAAAAAGACTAGGTGAAGAGGCACACAAACTGGCCTGGTGAGAGGGGGCCGCAGGGCTTATGATTGACTTTCTACTTTACAACCAAATGACCTGGACACAGCCTGCTGTTGTAAAACAGTATTCCTACTGAAAAACAGTAAACCCACTGGCTCAACAAAGCTAATTGTCTATGTGCATGAAATCAAATTCCTAGTGTATCTTCTCTGCCTTGTAAATACCTATTTGGATCACTTTATCCCACATTCTTTTTTTTTTAATCCCACATTCTAATAGATTTCATAACATTTTATGGCCAACCTTGCCCTCATGCTAAAAAATATAATGAACAATACTAAGAATTGAGTCAAAAGAGGCCCAAATAAAGCCACCTAAGGTAAAATGGATGTCTTATGAAAGTTATCTTAAGAATGTTTTTCTACACATTGAAGGAGATTTTAAATAGTATTTTAATACTGTATTTGAATATTTTGATCACTATATTTTCCCTCTGAAAATCTCACAGAGACATTTCTAAGATCTATTTATCTAAATGACCACCTTTGTAAGGTTAGGAGGGCAGTTATTATTGATCCCTCTTGTGCAGATGAGGAAACAGAGGCTCTGACAGTTGAAGTTAATTGCCCTCCAGCCAGGAAGGGGCACAGCCTAGATCAGCATCCTGATGGCGAGCCGGCCCTCTCTTCTTTCCACTTACCACAGGTTGAAGAAAAAGATAGCACAAGAGTAGCCACAAAACTATCCCCTAAAAAAACTAAGGCAGCTGAGAACATGCCAGGATTATTAAATTAGTTGGAAATACCTTTTCACTTTGGAAATTACAAGTTACACCCATGGGTCATTTGGTGAGGGGGAAGACACTGAGACACGAGTACTGAAGGCCTTTGGGTTGTAAGCTGTGTTGTGGACCCAGAGGAATGGCACTTGGGGTGGGGCACAAAGCTAGCTGCATTTTGTCCTTCCTTTCCTCACTGCTCATACTCTCCCCACCCAAGGGGAAGTCAGGAATATTCTGGAAGGCAGGGGCCCCTACTCAGAAAGTAGGGAGCTGGGGCACTGTTGTTCCAACTTCAAGAAGAGGGCATTCAGTAGACTGCAGTGTCTCCTGGGCCAAAGTCAGATGCCTTCCCCACCTCTACTTCTGGGGCTGGCTGTGGAGGGAACCATTAGTTTGAATTTATTCTAAAGGGCACGTCCTAATGGGTCTGAGTCTGGATCTGTATATGTGCTGCTATCCAGCTGAGGAGAGCACAGCGCTCTTTGTGACGTGAAGAGTGAGTTAAGTTCGTGAAAAGATTTCAAAATAGTCCAGGGGAGAGGAGGTGGGGGAACCCCCATAGCTTCACTTCTGCTAGCCCCTTCCAGTTTTACCATGACTTTGAGTCATTATTTTCTTACAAAGGGCTATAGGGTGCCCCGTAAAGCTCTCTTCCCCACAAGGGAGTCCTGGGGAGTTGGGCTCCAGTTCGGATTATCTAACAGAATGACCCTTGTAGATACCATGTAGATAACACACAATCAGCCCAAGAAATAAATTCCACACATGAACCACATACATTTGAAAGGCCCCAACTGCTGGGAGCCAGACTAATCTGTAGTTAAGGAAGGGATTTCTGGAATTTTCTGTGAGCCTCCCAGGCTTCCCGCATCTCATCCTTCTCATTACGTAAAAGGAATGGAAAAAGGAGATGTTTGTTTGGGCCAGGACAGTGTGTGATGGGAAAAATCAGCAGGTGAGAGGGCATTTTGTAATATTTAATCTAAAGGTAAGAGTTTTGCTAACTACTGAATAAATTTACGGAAGGAAACAATGTCCTTGGTATAAATATCAAATAACTCAACACTCCTAAAATCCTGGAGAACGTTCTGGTTTGCATGTCATAGGGGCTGACTGGACACTTGGAGGAGATGTCGTAGACAATTTGGGCATGGGATGGGAGACTGGGCTGGAGAAGTTACTCCTTCAGGCCTGAAATTCTGTGAAAACTAGAGGTGCCAATCCATTTTCTTACGGAAACTGTACTTTTTAAAGTACAAAATTATAGAGATGGAGAACAAATGAA